GTTCCAGAATCTGCGTGCGCGGCTTCAGTTCTGGGCTGATCGCCTGAAGTCAATGTCATCAACCAGGTCGACCTCGTCCGCTTCGGATGAAGACGATCGAACGGGCAATCAATGCTCCTCTTCTGGCGCATTGCCCCCTGCTGAGGTGAGTTATTGCTTTTCAGAGATAGAAAATGCAAAAATTAAAACCATATTGACTTTTTTCATGTGTTCCGAGCTCTGTGATGTATTTGTTTGCTTGAATCGTCCAGCTGCTAAAATCAGATGGTTAAAACTTGACGGCACAGTAGCTATAGATGTGTATGTCTGTATTTGTTTGTGTATATGTTTGTTTATATGTGTCTGTATATTGTTTTGTGTGTGTGTTTGTTTTTTATGTATGTATGCGTGTGTTTGAGTGTGTAAAACTTGGCGGCACGGTAGCTATAGGTGTGTATGTCTGTGTTTATTTGTGTACATGTTTGTTTATATGTGTCTGTACTTGTATTGTTTCTGTGTGTATGTGTTTGTTTTTTATGTATGTGTGCGTGTGTTTGAGTGTGTAAAACTTGGCGGCACGGTAGCTATAGGTGTGTATGTCTGTGTTTGTTTGTGTATATGTTTGTTTATATGTGTCTGTGCTTATATCGTTTTTATGTGTGTGTGTTTGTTGTGTATGTATGTGTGCATGTGTTTGAGTGTGTCCGTATCTTTGTTTGTGTATCTATGTGTGCATGTGCATCTGTGTTTATAGCCTTCTTTTGTGTTTGCGTGTATTTGTTTATATGTGTCTGTGCTTGTATTGTTTTATGTGTGTGTGTTTGTTATGTATGTATGTGTGTTTGAGTGTGTCTTTGTGTTTATGTGTCTGTATACGTGTGTGCCTCTGTGTTTACAGTCTTTGTAAGTGCGTGTTTGTGTTTGTGCGTGTGTGTGTGTATGTGTGTACCTTTGTGTCTGTCTATCTTTGTACACTGGGTGTTTTTGCATATGTTTGTGTGATATTTATGCTTGATCTACGCTTCACCAGTGCTGGGAAAGAAGGCATGGTTTTCAGTCCAAATCAAGTTTGGTACAGAAATAGCAGGTTGTGCCCCCATTTTACGCTAAAACAGAGATCAAAGCGTTGTTGCGTATCGTTCTCGAAGAGACTTACATTAGATTTAAGAAGTACATATTTCGGCAGACTTATGGAATGCCTGTGGGCGACGGTTCTAGTCCTGATATTGTAGACCTTAGCATATCAATTATGGAACACCATTTTTATGCGTTTTTTGCAGCTATGCAATGCGAAAAACGCATATTGACGAGAGGTTGTCTGTGTGTTCGTGTGTCTGTGTGCCTGTGTGTGCGTCTGTCACGCACTTTCATCTCCGGACCTATAAAAGCTGCGATGTGTCTGTGTGTGCGCTGGGCCTCTGTATCGGTTTTTCATCTCGAGACCGGCAAAAGCTACGGAGCTGAAACTTTGGGGACCTGTGCGTCTGCGTGTCCGTGTGTGCATCTGTGTGTCCGTGCGTGCGCCTCTCACGGTTTTTCATCTCAAGACCTACAAAAGCTGCAGGGCTGAAACTTTGGGAAATTAATCTAAATGCACGTACGGGCCCCAATCCCCAAAATTGGCGCCATTACCCGCGTGGTACCTGTGATCTCAGGAACTACATGAGGGCTCTTCAAAATTTTTTTCAGGTAAGTTCATAACTCGGGGATCTGAGAAGCTAGAACGCTGAAATCTTGAGAGGATGTTCCCCGTCCAAGTGGGTATTAGTGAGCTCAAACTCAGCCCCCGGGTAGGTGTGGTACCAGCGTACGAGACGCCAAAATTTTTTTCGAGCAAGCTGATAACTCGAGTACCTCAGAAGCTAAAGGACTGTAATTTTTAAGAGGATACACCCCGTCCACCTAAATTTCGTTCAGCTCAAGCCTAACTTTCGGACATGTCTGTTAAACTCGTACGGGTCCATGAAAGTTTTTTTCCAGTAAGTTGCTAACTCAGGAGCCAGGGAAGCTGGAAAGCTGAAATTTCAAGGGGAGTGTTTTCTG